AATCTTTTTTTTTTTTTTTAGACAGGGTCTTGCTATGCAGTCTGGGGTGGACTTGAACTCACTGTGGCGCCTAGGCTGGTCTCAAACTTGGAGCGATCCTCCTCCCTCAGCCTCCCGAGCGCTGGGATTATAGGTGTGCGCCACCACACCTATTGAGAACATCATTATATTGGATGAGTGGAAAGTAGCTGGCCTGGACCTATTGGGAGAAAATGGAGGGATGAATTGGGGCCAGTTTGTGAAGGGACATGAGTGCTAGAGTAATCTTTTAGAATTAGAGCCCAGGGAGGGGAAGACAGGTGTATAAGACACATACTGAAAATGCCCAACCAGAGATGGAAATCCCACAGATGAAAATGGAAGGATGAGGGCCGGGGACTTAGCTCAGTGGCACCATGCCTGCCTTGCAAGGGCAAGGTCCCGAGTTCAATATCTAGTACTGCAAGCAAAACAAAACCCCCCAAAAAACATCAGTTTGCTAGTGCTGCCACCTGCCTCAACAAGCACAAGGTCCTGAATTTGATCCCCAGTACAAAAAAAAAGGATGCGTCATACTAGGTTTCCATCACTGAGAAACCGCCTAAGGTAATCAATCTAATAAAAAGGTTGGTTGGCTGATTCATTTACTTATTTAGGTACTGGGAATTGAACTAAGGGCCTTTGTCATGTTAGGCAAGTGCATTACCACTGAGCTGCTTTGCTGGACAGAAGGGCTTATTTCAGAAATTACAGTCCATGATCACTTGGCCCTATTGATTTGGGCCCGTGGCAGGAGCTTATGGCAGAGGAGGCCTGCTCTCCTCGTGGCAGCAGGGAAGCCAACAGAGAAGGGGCTGGAGTCCCAATATCCCATCAAGGGCCCAATCCATTGACCTGACTTCCTCCCATTCTGTTCCACTTCTTAAAGATTCTACCACCTCCCAGTAGCACCATAAACCGGGACCAACCCTTCAACAGGTGGGCCTTGGGGGGATATTCAAGATCCAAACCATAGCAGAGGGGCACACCACAGAGGAGGCAGTGTGGGTGCCATGGGCAAGGGATTGGGATGAAATCAGCATGTAGGGAGGACATCCCAGGGCACAGCAGGGTTGAAGGGAAAGCCTACAATGGGGTGAGAATCATGAGACGGTGCAGGTAGTGCTGGGTAGTGCATGGGTGCCCTTGCACAGTGGAGACTTGAAGGCACGGGTTTGGCAGGTCACTGCCTGCTGTGGCTTCTAGTGGGGCTGCTGGCCTCAGTTCCTGGGTGTGATTTGTTAGGGAGAGGCTGTTGGGTATCCTTTTCCCAAGGGTATAGTAGTATATTGGCATGGCCATGACAAAAATACCACAGGCTGAGCAGTTTAAACAACAGATATTTATTTTGTCACAGTTGTGGAGACTGGAAGGCTTGAGATCAGGTGTCGGCAGGTTAGGTTTCCCTGGGGGCCTCGTTTCTTGGCTTACAGACAGCTGCGTTCGCCCTGTGCCCTCACATGGCCTTTTCGCCATGTGCACTTCCCTGGGCTCCTCCTCCCTTCTTAGATGGACACATGTCACACTGGATTAAGGGCCCTCTCTTAAAACCTTTTTTAGCCTTATTTATCTCTTTAAAGGTACTATCTCTGAGTATAGTCAGGGCTTCAGTGTATGAATTTTGTAGGGATGTAATTTATAACAAGCACTCCAAGTCTTGTCACTGCTTTTTCTCTCCCTTATCAGTGTTAATTTCAAATAGGATAGGGTAGTCTGGAGTGCCCTTTTTCCAGTCTGCAGGGTAGGAAGCTGACCTAGCATCTTAGCTAGCTGAGCGGACAACTCCACCAAACAGACTCTTTCTCCTCAATTCTTAAGTGCAAATGAGAGTGTCCTTAGGGGAAGGACACTTGCTGTTTCCTCCTGAGCCAAGGGGTTAGAGACTTCTACTGCTAAAAACAGTATTGTAAAAGGTCTAAAGTCCAATTGATATACTTGGAGGTCACTTAGAATCCAATACAGTAGCCATTAGCCATGTGTGGCTATTTTAAATTAATTGAGATTAATTAAATTCAGTTCTCCGGTTTACTACTACATGTCTAGTGCTCAGTAGCCATACATGGCTAATGGCGACTGAGGGAATGGCACAGATACAGAACATTTCCATTCTGAAGAAAGTTCAATTGGACAGTGTTGATCTAGAGGTCAATAGTTTACAATTCTGCCTGCGAATCAGAATTGACCTGTGGAGGTTTAGAAAAACAGGTGTCTCAGCTCCTCATCAAGACATTTTGATTTGAGAGGTTGAACATGCATCTGGGTATGTCTTTTACAGAATCTCTTTGTGCTACACTTATTTATTTGGAGACAAGCTTTCTTTATGTAGATCAGACTGGTCTTGGACTCACCATGTAGCCCAGACTGGCCTTGAATTTGGAGTGATCCTTCTTCAGCTTCCTGCTGAAGATTACAGGCTGGGATTACAGGCGTGGGCCACCACACCAAGCCTTATCATCTTGTCCCCTTACTGATACAGGGTGGCTTAAAGGAAGACTGAGTCTTGACTTTGACCACTGTGTGGTCTCTCACTTGCCTTTCTCAATTCAGCAAACCTTTGTCAATGTGTGCAATGTGTCATTCCCCATGCTAGGCACTGTATTTTAGTAGCAGGTCAATCAGACAATGCTCTGCCTTCACGTTGGTTACTGTCTAGTGATATGAG